CCAGCCACTGCCGTTCGATTAAGAGTTTATTTCTACCCCATCCTCACCGATCGCGCTTTCATTAAACGGAAACAGGGAAAAGTAATTCTGATCAACGATATGTTAATATCAATATATCAAATGAAGTAACCCTTTCAACCATCCTACGTATATGATTGTTATAAAATTGGAAATCAGGGAAATGTTAGGGAAATTGAAAACGGTTAGGATAATCGGGGAAAAAATATCAGGGGATTTTGTAAAATTTTCTAGAAAATTAAAATTCATGGTATTAAAGAAGTTTAATATGCGTATATTAATACATCTATGCAGTTTTGATACTATCGACTTAAAAATTAAATGCAAGCTATGTCAACAACATTAATAATAATTACATAAGTTGTTAAATTTCTCCTTTAACGAAATATTTGACCATTTTCAAATTAGGACGAACAGATAAAAAATTTTGTAATATTGAAAGTATTAGGGAAAATTATGAAATTTTGTCGGGAAATTATGGAAAAATTATGAAATTTTAAGAATTTGTGACAGCCCTGATATATTACAAAAGAGATAAACAATTCTATACGTTTAACTTCAAGCGCTCTGCTACAATTTAATTATTTTAATTAATGCACCAGCCAAACTAATTTTTCGTTTGTACTACTTATTTCATTTCACTCTGGACGAAGATCGAAAATTAATTTTTGGTCAACACGACGATTGCATAGGTACTTCCTTTTTTATAACAGCCAGTGTAGATAAGAAAAGGGAGGCTTAACGAAAACATTAGCGTGCGGGAAACGGAAAAAGCAGCGTTTTCGCGTAATCGCGCAGGAAACGAGCAAAGTCGGGCAGGACAAATTTCGCAGGGACGAATTAGCGCATCCTGCTGCTAGGTCTCTCGAAACGCTCTCCCTCGCTGCTTCTGTTATCCCGAAGGAGATCCCCACTTGTCGGTGGACCTACGGGGGGTCCTTTTCCTTCAGGATTAAATGGAGCGCCTAGATGACCGATGCTCGTCCTCCAGCAACGGTGGAGTGTACGAAGCGCGATGCTAGGGTGAAGAACGGGGACGGGGGAGTTGGGTGGAAAACAAGATAAAACAAGGATAAGGCTCTCTCTCAGCTTCCCTCTTCCAACTTCGGTAGGACGCATCTTCCGATCTCGTCACAAGGAGACCCTCGATAATCTGGAGGTGTCTAATCGTCTATATTGCTTGATTTAAACCGCCGCGTTTGTCTGCCGTCCAAGTTTATCCCCTCGCACATCGCAGAAAGTTTTTAAGTGTACTCTTTCGCGTGTATTCCAATCGTTGTTTATTTCATTGTAAAAGAGATAAAACGAAATGACTTGGTGCAGTAAAATATTAATACTGTTCTATTTATCATCGTTAATTTATCATCACTGCGTGACAATTTTTCCAGCTGAAAATTATTACTTTTGCGTTCTTTTGCGAGTAATTTGAGAAACGAGCTCTAAACACACGCACCAAGGAAAACCGGAGCTCGTTAGCTACGGTTGACACACCTCATTGCGTGTTCGTTGCTCCGAATCCAGCGATTTACAAAGTAAAGGCGGAACATCTCGCGTTTAATTAACGAATTCGTTGATAATCGCGGGGTACTTCATTTGCG